AACAAAGGAGAGAACATTTTTCAGGTAGAAGATGCATATGATCTGGCTCTGATAAACAAGTTTTTCCAAAAAAGAGAAAACCACCTGCTAACCTACAGGAGCGGAAAGACGAAAAGCCAGATCGATTATCTACTGCTCCGAAGAAAGAACTTCAGAACGTCAGAGATAGCAAGGTTATCCCCGGGAAAACCGTCACAATCCAACATCAGTTTTTGGCTCTAAACCTCTCTCTCTCTGAAACAGCCCATTCAGACAGTGAGAACGGCGACAGCCTTAAAGATAAGGTGGTAGAAGCTTGAAGGAAAGCTGGAAAAAGCGTTAAAAATGGAGACTGGAACAGAAAAATGGACGATGTACGGGAACGGATGGCCAGCATAATCATAGGGAATGCCACAGATCTAGTCACAGCAACAAAAGACAACACATTGAGAAAGAAACATAGTGGTGGGATGTGGGTGTTCAGGCGAACCTAAGACAGAAGAAAAAGCTGTTCAAGAAATAGCAGCTACCAAACAGAGCGTAAGACAGTGTAAAATATGCTAGATCGAAGAGGGAGGCAAAGAAAATCATGGCTGAAACAAAGTCTATAGCATGCAAGAACGCATACGAGAAACTGACAACAAATGAAGAGGAGCAAGACATTACCGCATAGCAGAAACCAGAGAAAGAAGAACAAGAGACATCGGTAGTATAGAGTGCATAAACGACGAAAGCGAATGGTGTCGATCGAAGAGAAAAATATTCGCAGTAGATGACGATGGCATTTCCAAACACTACTAAATGAAGAACACCCCACAGAGGTCCTGGAAGAGATCCCACAAAACCAGGTTCAATGATAAAAGCCCTTACCCGATAGTGGAACAAGCATTGAGCCGAATGAAAAATAAAAAGGCCCTTGGCCCGGACGAAGTTCCCATAGAAGCGTGGAAAGCACAGGGGCAAGAAGGTGTGGTTTGGCTCTGTGCGCTATTGAAGAAAATTATGGAATAATGAGCAAATACCAGAATTACGAAGGCAGAGTATTTGATGCCAGTGTGCAACAAGAAAAGGGACATGCTTGCCTGTGAAAACTACAGGGAAACTGAAAATGCTTAAGCACACCATGAAGCTATACGTGAGGAAGCTGGGCAAAAGACTGAGAAAGGAAGTCGACATCACTGTGAACCAATATGGCTTTATGCCAGGCCGGTCAAACATGGATGCCATCTTCACTTTAAGACCAGTCCTCGAAACATTTAGAAGGAAAACAAGCCATTCACTGGTGTCTCTAGACCTGGAAGAAGCTTTTGATCGAATCCTGAGGCAAGCAATCTCGTGGAGCATGAGAAAAAAGCTGGTGCCAAAAAAGTATGCCAGGTTTACGAAGACATGTACGACAGAGTGACAAAGACAATTCGAAGTACATGTGGCAAAAAAGAAGAGTTCCCTGTGCGGTAGGAGTCCACCAAGGATCCGCATTGAGCCCATTTCTGTCCTCAATGGTGGCAGACGCGATAACTGACGAACTGCAGGAAGCAGTCGCATACTACATGCTCGATGCAGATGATACTGTGTTGTACAGCGGAAGCAAAAAACCGAGGAACGGAGAACCTCCCTGAAGAAGAACGGCAATCGACTCAGCAAATGCAAGCTATACTGATATACGACGGGCTATTTCAGTGGGAAAAACAAAATGAAAGCCGTCACCAGTGAACGTATCTGGGAGCATGCAGCCTCAAACCCAAGAATTCCTCCAAGGCAATGGAGAAATAGAAAGTAAATTAAGGAATCAGTCTGAAAAAGCTTGGTTCAAACGGAAAAAAGTGAGCGCAGTACTGTGGGACAAGAAGATGTCCATCAGACTGAAAGGGAAGGTGTACAGGACGATAGTAAGACCGGTGCTTCTGAACGGAGCGGAATGTTTGGCTATCGTGAAGAGACACAAACAACAGCTGAACTCGGCAGAAAAGTGAATGCTCAAATGGATGTGTGGTGTCGGCAGAAATGACTACACCCTTAACAGCTTCATAAGAGGCACTCTAGAGGTATCACTAATTTCAGAAAACCTTATCGAAGGTAGGATCTA